TATATAATGTGTATGCAAACAAAATGTAGCTTCAAACACAATGGTTGCAACAAGTTAATGCTGCACTTTGATCACCTCAAGCTTTAAAAGGCCCTATCACAAAACACTGAAACAAAAGTCCTTTATAGCTGGCTGGCCATACTTCAGGACCACAAATTCCAAACCCACAGGATTTGCTGCAAACACATGGTAGACGTGAACCCAAAACTCATCATTACTCTCTTCATATGTTCTGCTGCTTTTGCATGCTTGCCACACTACAGGTGGAACCTTTTATTATACTTGTTTGATTAGAGCCCTTAGAAACTGCATATAGTTGACTGTACATGGGGTATACAGGGCCGGCCTTAGGGGTGTGCGAGCTGTGCGGCCGCAGAGGGCACCATGGCAACAAAGGCGCCAGGCGGCCGACACAGCTCGTCCTCGGGGCGGCTTCTCGCTGCCTGCTGTCAGGATGGGCGAGAGGTGAGGGGGAGAGAAGCCGCACCCGCAGCTGTCAGGATGGCCGAGCGGGGGAGATCGGAGCCGCTGTCATCCTGTCAGTTTCAGGATGACAGCGGCTCTGTGTGTGGCAGAGCGAGGGATTGGTAAATATCATTGATATTTACCGGTTCTCTTTGTGTGAAGGACAAACACTGGAGTGATTGTCTGATCACTCCAGTGTTTGTAAATAACTGGGGACACATAGTACTATGTGTCCCCAGTTATGAATGATCAGGCTGTGATTTACATCATATCCTGTTCATTTAAGATTTCCTCAATGGGGAGGAGCACTCACTACAGAGGCTCCTCCCCATTCAGAAATTGCTGATAGTAGATATTTTACTATCAGCAATTTCTGAATGAATGGGAAGCCTCTGTACTGAGTGCTTCCGATTCATTGAGTGCTGAGGCTGCTGAAAAAGAAATTAAGGGATTTGGTGTCCTCAATTTCTTTTCTATTTTAAAAGGTAAATGTCAGGGGTCTGTTTGGACCCCTAATATTTCCCCGAAGCCCCCAACAGTAAAAACAATCAATAAATAAATAATAAAAATAAAAAATTATAACAAAAATAATAAAAAATGTAAAAAATTATTTTTAAAAAGTGAAAAATGCCCCCCTTCTCCCCCCCCTACCCCCCACACACATATTTTTGGACATGTGCGAAGAGTAAAAATTAATTTCAAATGAAATGAACGAAAACTAAAAACGTTTCATTCGTTTCTTCAGACAAAACACATTTTTAAGCTATTTTAGATTCAGCCATTGGCTTGTTCTGTAGGCATGGAGCATGACATCATATAACACCACACGTGTTGGGTACCGCCATCTTGGTGTATATCTAGGTATACACCAAGATGGTGGGGCCAATATCGGCGTGTGGCGTCACCTGACGCCACGCATGCATGGCGTCATGTAACGTCATGCTCCCCGCTTCCAAGATGGTGGCACGCATTCACAGAACACGCCGGTGGCCAACATGGCCACCGCACATTCTCAAACAAATTATTATGTGCCCGAATACATTTTTCGTATATTCGGACATATAGTAATTCATTAATTTTGCATGTAGTCTAGGTTTTGTGTTCTGTTTTTTTTTTTTACTTTTCTAGATGCACTTACTTGAAAAAAAAGTGTTGTGGACATTTATTGTTTACTACTTGTTTGCCTACTGTTGTTTTATTTGATAAAAATACTTATATTGCGCCTACAAGTTTAAAACCTTTGAATAAAAGTTTTATTTTTATCATACTTTTTAAAGTTTCTTTGCGGCTTAATAAAATAGGAAAAAAACAAAAAAGCCTTGCTGCACTCCTTACCGGAACATCAGAGAAGCCCGTGCAAATGGGTGGGTGCTTGTAGTGACCACGGACGGCACCGTGATTAACACAGAAGAAGAAATGATGTCACCAGCACACCGTATGATTAATTAACAAAAGTCCATTTAATGACACAAGATCATTCAATACAAGTGCTTTCGGGGCCTCAAAGGGTCCCCTTCATCAGGCTCAGAATGACATAGAATTGTACAACCATTAGCCTTAAATGGACATCAAACAGTGAATAAAAACAGGCCCCTCCCATAGAAGCAGCATCATCACTGGACCAACTCCCGCCATAAGGGTTTCAAAAATCACTAACCTGCAGCAGATTAGATGCCCAAGTGGTGTGCAAACGAGTGCTGGCCGTTAGTTTGAAGAGGCACAGGTGTTTGCCAAGGCAGCCGGACGCCATATTGCGCGTAAGCCCCCCCCCCTCCTCGCCCGCACTCATACCCGTTGTGTGAAGCGCAGGGCTGTTCAGGCTTGCGTTCCAGATGGGAAGGAGAGGTAAATGACAGTTCGTCCGCGCATGCGCATTGCATCAGAGATCGTATTGATCGCACAGAGAGGCGGCCGTAACTGCAAGCCCCGGCCAATGTGAACTTCAAACCAAGAAGGGGCAATGGAAAGAACGAGCCACCACACAGTGACACAAAAATATGCCACTTGTTGCTAAAATTAGAGAATTAGAGAAAAAAAGAAGCAAAGTCTATATCAAAATCCTATAGCTGGGTAGGATCCAGTGATGAACGTGTTACCACAGTGACAAATGCAGTTAAAAACAATATAGTCATCGGCCTACACATACAGTATATAATGAATCCCCAACATAATGTTGCAGAACAGAATAAGGCTTTAAAGGGATAAATGATTCATATACATGAACATAAAAAAAAAAACAAAAGGTAGAGCCAGTCCGTATCATAGAAGCTGCTGCAATTTGTCTTATAGTAAAGGGGGATGGACAATAATCAATCAATTTGGTGAAGGGCGTTTGGTGTGCTGGTGACATTTCTTCAAGTGATTCATGCAACTAGCGGTGCCATCCGCAGTCACTGCGAGCACCCTCCCCTTGTTATAGGGTTATCCGGTAAGGAGTACAACAAGACTTCCATACATCCTGAAACAGGTGAAGGCCCCAAGTCCCCTTAAAAAAAGCCTTCCTAAAAACAAGTAAATCTCTTTTCTCTTCATGCAGTGTCATTCAAAGCCACAGATTTCCTGATCAACCCTCTAGACCCACAGAATGCTGACAACATTTCTGTCAAGATTGCAGATCTGGGGAATGCCTGTTGGGTGGTAAGTATTTTACAGATGCATGCAAATGCTGATAATCAGATCTCAACTGTATGTAAATAGAAAATGCAGCTTATGTTCATTCTTGTTTTTGAAGCACAAACATTTCACTGATGATATTCAGACACGGCAATACCGAGCCGTGGAGGTGTTGATTGGTGCTGCCTATGGACCTCCTGCTGATATTTGGAGCACTGCTTGTATGGTAAGCTATGTTATATTAGTAGAAAAAAGAGGTTATACTGTCAAATTCTTCCATTTTTGTATCTGGTTTGGTAAAAGCTGAATGGTGTAATATACTCACCTCCCCTTCGTTCCAGTCTCCTTGCATGGCAGCGCCCCCTCAGCTGCAGCGTCATTCAGCTCCACCCTCATACCTGGCTTAAAGCGCCAGATTCAATTGCCCAGTGTCAGTTCAATGTGTAGACGCTGGGCGGTATCACCGCTCCTGTCTGCACTGTGATCTCTCTCCCCCCTCGCTCTACTGCAGTACCTTGCTGGATGACACGCTGCCGCTGTCTCTCCCCAGACATTCCTTCCTTGTCAGAAGCAGACTGTCACTGGACTTATCCCTCTCACGATCGCAGCAGCTGCTCCTTTCAAACCGGGACTGTCTGGACATTCCTCTAACAAATCACAGCTACCATTGCTCCTGTCACAAAAGTTACTGGATTCCATTGAAGTACACCATCTCCTCAGCTGTAGGTCTCTCTCCCACCCTGTAAGGACGGATCATTCATTCATCAGCACTACCATCCCCCAGCTCTCAACAAACAGAGCCTGCTGAAACAGACTGCAATCCTTCCTTGTTAAAGCCACAGCACCTCCAATAGCTGAGACATCCTGAAGTGTTCCAATCTTCTCCTGTCAGCACAAATGCAAGTATCTTTATTTAATTGACTTTCTCATATATCTTTTGGTACTTATCCTCCCCCTCCTCCATATAAGCTAATTCATGAACTGGGGACTTATAATTTTACCTTCATACAACTTGTTTATGAACTGTAGTGTCTCCCTTAACTGAGTGACATAGTCTGTGAAGGTAAATTACCTTCTCCGCAGTTGTGATCCATAGACGCACATCTAAAATTGAGCAGAAGTGTTACAGTTTGATCTGATCCACAATGGATCCAGCGGAGATTACAAACACATGGTGGCATTCAATCAGAAACTTGAAGCCCTTACACAGACAGTCACTGTGGAAAATGAAACTCTGAAATCATACATCTCACAGAACCTCGCTAACAGGCCTCCCCCTAACGAACTAACTGAACCAAAAGTGAGTCCCCTGATACATTCTCTGGTGACAGGAAGAAATTCAAGGAATTTTTAAATGCATGCAAACTGATGTATAGTCTGAAACCGAGAACTTATTCAACAGAAAGAGTTAAAGTTTGCACCACCATATAATATCTAAGGGGTGAGCCCAGAGCCTGGGCAAACACTTTCCTAGAAAGGGAAGATCCCATTTTGGATTCCTTTACTGAATTCTGTGCCTCAATTTGTTTATTATACGAAGATCCTCCTTGCAAACAATTTACTGCAGAAACTGCGTTACGTTCATTGAAACGGGAAAAGACCTGTAGAGGACTATATTGCTGAGTTCAAAAGATGGTCCACTGAATCTGAGTGGAATAACATTACTCTAAGAAATCAATTCAGACTAAGCTTAGCTGAGGCAGTTAAGGATGAACTTGCCAGAACCGAGTTACCTTCCACTCTAGACGCATTTCAACTCAGCATCTCCATAGATAGACGTCTACGAGAAAAATGATCAGAAAAATCTTTGGGAATTAAATACAGTCCTCACAAAGTTACCCCTAGTGACCTAGAGACACCAATGGAAATAGGCACAATTAAAAGCCCCCTCACTCAAGCTGAGAGACTTGGACGAAGAAACCTACAGCTTTGCATGTATTGCGCTTCTGCTAAACATGTTGTTGTGAATTGTCAATTGTTGAAGAAAAAGAATCCGGGTGAGTCACATCTCATATGTAAAGTAGTACCCCCTAACCCTACTATTTCTAATTATTTTAAAATCAAATTAATTTTACAGTGGAACCAAAGAAGGATCAACATGGAGGCCATGGTTAATACGGGTGCCTGCGGAAACTTCATCGATTTGAATGTTGTTAATACTAATAAAATGCCAACAATTAAAAAAGCTAATCCGGTGTCAGTCAGAATCATGGATGTTGCCACATTAGAATCAGGTCCCATTACTCATCAAACTCAACCCATCATGGTTATATCTAACAATAACCATGTTGAGTTTATGACCTTTGATGTGATCCCCTCTTCACATTTTCCTATCGTTCTCGGGCTACCTTGGCTACTCCTACATAAACCCTTGTTTCTCTGGGACAAATTAACCCTCGAATTAAACTCCAATTACTGTATGGATACCTGCTTCTGCTCTACTTCTCTTCTACAAACACAGGTCGAGGAAAAGCCAGAGAGGATTATTGGAATACCTATTCCATATCAGGACTTTAAAGATGTCTTTTGTAAAAAGAAAGCCGAAGCCCTACCCCCACACAGACCCTACGACTGTCCTACTGATTTGCTACCAGACAGTAAGATATGAGTGGGTCGCCTATATCCACTATCTGAACCAGAGTTAGAACATCTCAAAGAATATTTACCAGACAATCTGAAAAAAGGCTTTATTCGACCATCATCATCTCCCGCCAGGGCCAGAATGTTTTTTGTACAAAATAAAGATCACAGCCTTAGGCCCATCATTGATTATCGAGAAATCAACAAAATAACCATAAAAAACAGATATCCTCTACCCCTTATACCAGAACTCTCAGAAAGACTACAAACAGCAAAACTATTCACACAATTGGATCCTAAAGGCGCATACAACCTCATACGTATAAGAGACGGAGATGAGTGGAAGACTGCGTTTCGTACCAGATATGGGTTGTATGAATACTTAGTTATGCCATTCGGGCTATGCAATGCCCCCGCAACATTCGAGTATTTCATAAACTACATATTCCATGATTTGTTAGACATATGTGTGGTCATTTACCTTGATGATATTCTCATCTATTCCAGTAATGTGGAGGACCATCGCAAACATGTACGATGGGTCCTAGCAAGACTGAGGGTACACAATCTATGCGCAAAACTAGAGAAATGTATATTCAAAACCACCACCATTTAATTCCTGAGATACATTATTTCTAATGAAGGCATACAGATGGATAAAGAAAAAATAAGCTGCATCCTCAATTGGCCTCGTCCCCATTCTAGAAAAGCTCTACAGAGGTTTCTGAGGTTTTCAAACGTCTACAGAAAATGTATAAAAAACGTTTCTGCCATCGTAAAACCCTTAACACAACTAACAAGTTCCACCTCAAAGTTCCTCTGGGATAACATGGCTCAACATGCCTTCGAGAAATTGAAACATCATTTCACTACAGCCCCCATTTTGCAGCTACCTGACCCTCACCTCCAATATACATTGGAAGTTGATGCCTCACAACTTGCAATAGGAGCTGTTCTTTCACAAAGGCAATCAAAGGACTCTCCCCTTCACCTAGTGGCATTCTATTCACGCTGCCTGAATGCAGCTGAAACAAACTATTCTGTAGGTGAAAAAGAGCTCTTGGCCATCTAATCAGCTCTTGAAAATTGGAGACACCTATTAGTGTTGAATCAATTTTTATTAGCATTTTCTTAAACAAGTTTCATAACATTCAGTATCAAAACTCAAGAAGGACATAAAAATCAACATCATGACATCAGGAGGCATGATAAAGCTAAGGCAGTTCTTGGCTACTCATACAACAATGTAGAAAGGGTCCTCATCACTATGGTCATATCCACAAAATGTATGGTGGGACTCTAGCTTGCATGGTCAGGTATTGTAGCTTGTGTCTACACCGCTTAATACCTTCTCCTAACTAATATTTCAAACATCCTGATATGTTAGGAAAGTTGTAGAAAGGGAGGGAAGAAACCAGATAGAGGAGAACTGATAAAGGAAGGAAATAAGGAAAAAAGGGGGGGGAAGGGGATTACTTCCCAAGTGGGGCACCGGGTAACAACCAGTGAACGGCAGGGATCACACTACTTCTGCCGAAAGTTGCGTCCCCTCCAGCACGCCGGGGGTGGAGAAGTGTAGAGGCGAGTGGGTCACCAGTCAAGTTTTGGAGGAGGATGAGGCCTCTGCCCGCCCAGCAGATTTCCTCAACTTTTGCATCCAGGGTGACGCTGGTACAAAACCGGGTAGGGTCGGTGTGAGAGGCCAGTCCGGAAGGGCGACTTGTGGAAGCTCCAGCTTACCCAAGATGCAGCTGTACGTGGGAGCGTAATTCAGCAGAGTATTTCTCTATATCTTCTAATCTGTTGTTTAAGTCCTTCTTTAAGGTGAACATTTCCCTTTTATACATGTTCTCCAGGCGCGAGAAGCAGGATTCTATGTCCTTCATGGTGGGCAAGGCTTTTATGTATGCCTCCATGTCCCAACCTTCTTGTGAGCTGAGTGAGGCCTGTGACATGCTCCTGGAGTGCTGGGATAGACCCCCTGGACTCTGGGGTGAGTGTCCCTCCCGTGTCTGGCTCACCTGATCCACAGTAGGAGTCTCAGAGTGTGCTGGAGAGAGCTCCGGCGGCGCCATCTTGGCTGCATGTGTGGATGCAGAGTCAGAGGCTGCGGGTGCCGTTCGGTTGAAAAATTGGGTTAATTCCCACGGCGCGGGTCCTTTTTTCCCTTGCCTTTTGCTCTTATTCCTCTGGTCACTCATTGCCGGTGTTTGTGGGCTAGGAAGCCGCTGCTGTCTGCAGTTTAATGTGCCCTCGAGCGGGAGACGAGCCGATACACGTCTCACCGCTCCATGCGCCAAGCCACGCCCCCTGGAGACACCTATTAGAAGGCACTCAGTTACCTATTGTAATTCTTTCTGATCATCACAATCTTCAATATCTACAGAGGTATAAAACGCTACCATCCAGACAAATAAGGTGGGCCTTCTTCTTTGAGAGGTTCAACTTTATAATTACTTATAGACCCCGGCTCCAAAAACGGGAAGGCAGATGCACTCTCTAGAAAAGATGAAGCTTCCATCTGTACCAATTCCCACAATTACATCATACAGCAGGAGAAGTTCATCAACACAATTTGCAATTTAAAACAGGACCTCAAAGTGGCACTACGAGCTGCACCTTCCCTGGAAGGACTAAACTCTAATG